AAAGTTAAAAATTTAGTTGAAAATTTGACGAAACAGTGAAAAAGAAACGAAAAGACTTTGAAGTGAAAGCTTACGCAGATGAAAAGGTGAATACTTTGCCGATGAGAGCAAGTAAAAGAGAGAAGTAAAATAAAATAAAATAAAATAAAATTTTATCTAACAAACCTTACTGAGTGATGTTTTAAAAGAAAATGAGCAACACATTTTAGACAAAATAACAAAAGTTATAAAATATTAAGCTTTCCAGCTGCGCTTTGAGCTTTCAGCGAAATTAGTTTGCAGCAATTAAATGAATGTCGCTCACAAAAATTCTTCAAACTGTTTTTTCTGTTACTTTCACTTTTTTACGTAGTTTCTCATCTTTTCTTTCATTCAATTTTACTCTCCACCCTCCATGCGTTCTCTGATATTTCTTATACAAATCCCTGTTTTTTCATCTCTTTGCTTCGCGTTTGCTTTTGTATTTTGTATTTCCATTAATTTTATGACTCGTCTCGATTATTATGCACCCAACTGGCTGGCACCCATTGTGGTTCACGTTCCAGCGAGTTGATCTCGGCCAGTAGTTGTTGATAAGCACGATCTGTATCGTTGTTGATGATAATCATATCGAAGAGATGACCCCAACGTGCCTCCATATCGCGGGCGGTAGCTATGATGTCTTTGAGCTCCTCCTCCTGGGATAGAAATTGATAAAATTTAGTGGAAGCTTATAAAAAAGATGGTTGTGGGCTTGTGAGGTGCTCTGATCTGGGAGGGGTCGTACATTTTACTTCGGGCTGCTTATTTTCGGAGCCAGACCTATCGGATAGTGGTGAAGAAGTTAGAACCGAGAGACCTTGTTTTCTGCGGATAGTTCCGGAGAACGTTGCCTAATCAGCAGTGGTACATCAATACAGTGTTTCCATACGTTTGACCATATCTTGTAATACTGAGATGGATTTCAGAGGCTTAAAACTCATCTATACTTCCGTCTGTCAGTTTCCGAAAGGTTGAGCTTACCTTCTTAGTACTGTGGGGTACTTAACAAAAAACTGAGTAGCTTAGCAGATCCAACTGCGAAATATGCAGGGAATGACTCGCTTTAAGCTCTATCAGCTCTCAAGATTTGGCACCTTGCTCCGGAGAAAGATATTTCCCTCCAAACCCAACACCAACTTCGGACTAATAAACAAAACAAAACGCAAACAAAATTGGTTTTAGCAGTAAGAGCCCCTGAAATTCTAACCGCCAGCTCCGGACCAGAGAAATCATCTACCCCTCCGCTACACGACTACCATCAGCAGGCTCTGGAACACAAAACCTCCTATGTCTATATGAGCTCATGTTGACGGTCAGTATGAGGTAGATGAACTTAGGTCCGGCTTAGAACTATGTTCGGAAAGGCTCCCGGAATATCCGCTGAGCTCGCTATCTATTTCACAGGAAATCCTTCATTTCCAAAGCAGAGCCGCCATGCTTTTGGCTGAGAGAGACACATCGTTGGAAAGGCCACCAGTTTTGTCTGGTGGCACGTTGTGAGTATACTCGTTGCAGAAACCCCATTTCTATTATCCAGCTGTTCGGTTTGTTAGAAATCTATTTTTGAAACCATTTCCGGGAGCCCGACTCCTTCAGTAACAACTCTCAATGGGTAAAGAAAGGTAATTTCACTTATTTCGCTGCATAAACTCACCTTAAAGGGTTCTCCATTGCGTAACTTCTTCTGACGCAGCTTATCGAGACTGGGCGGTGCGACCAACACCACATACGGCTTCAGATCGGAGGCGCGCAACAATTTCAAACTTTGCGGATGTAAATTCAGTACACAAATCTTACCGCTCGCAACCACTGTACGTATGGCCTCTAGTGAGGTGCCTGTAATGATGCCAAAGAAGAAGAACAAGAATATGTGAATATTTGCAATTTACTTAATTCGTTCATCAAAGAATCGGATATGAATAAGCCACCACCATGCAGCGGCAAGCGAGTCTGCTTGCACATAACTACACCGAGTTTACTTGGAAATTCTGGCTTTTCTTTTTTCATACTCACCATAGTAAGCCTTCTCATATTCGCCATGTTCGACGAAGCGACGCGCCAGTATGTCCGCCTCAAAGGCTTGGCGCGTGATGAAGTGATAATCAACGCCGGGTACTTCACCTTCGCGACGGGCACGTGATGTATCTGCGGAGAGAGAAGTGTGGAAGGTAAATAAATAAAGATTTGTTGCAAGGGCGAGCGAGGTGCGAGACTTAAGTAGCGAGTGGGGGTGTGTGTATGTGGGAGCGAGCGTGAGTATGAAGGAGCAGGCAAGTAGTGCCGCGGGTTGAGAAGCGGGCGCAGATTGGGGTAGTCGAGTCTTGGCTGACTACGATTGGGTTTGTAGTAAGAAAACCGATGTGTAAGCTGTCTGGCTCAGCGTGTATGTGTGTGTTTGCTTTAAGAATTCACGAAGGATCTGCTGTCAGAGGCTGAGCTCTGCGCTGTGTATGGCGATAGAATTGAAGGTGAAAATTTTTTGGCTTTGGCTTTGGCTGCTGCAATTAAGTCGTTAAGGACTGACAAGCCTGCACAAACGGAAACAACCACACGCACACATTCAGAGGTAGATACACATTGGTAAACATTGTTCGCCCGCAAAGCCGTTTTTAATATGTTCGTCCTTGTAGGTCGTCGAAAAGGATTTAAGGACGAGCTCACGATGTATGTGTAGGTGTGTGTGTGTGACTGTGTAGGTGTGTAAGTGTCTTAGGCGAAGTAGAGCGCAAGGAAATTGCCGCTTAATTACTTCTATGATGAAAGGCAAAGCTCAGGCACTGGCACAGTGGGACAAAAGCGAGCAAAACTGGCAGAAATTTTCAAAAATGTTCAATAAATGCAAGAAATACAAATTTTGTGGAACACTTTCAGGCGCATTTACCCTTTTTCAGTTTCTCCTCTAACAAAATGAAAACTAAACGAAAAAAAAACGAAAAATGAAAAAAATAGACAAAAATTTCGATCAAAATACGAGTGTGTCACCAAAACAAAAAAGATCTCGCGCACAAAAATAAGTAAAAAATACTCCAAAAAACTTGAAGCAACATCAGTAGTAAAAAGCTGACTTTAGCCAAGCCTCAAGTGCCAAGCCAATCTACATTCCTGCCGAAAAATCTTCTAACTTAAGCGTCCCCTTCACCAACTTACGTGGCACCGCCGCCGAGAAGCGATCCGAGTCGGCCATCAGCCGTTGTCTCAACTCGTGACGCCCTATATTCGGTGGCCCAATCAGCACAATGGGTCGTTTGTGTGTGGCACGTGGATAGTATAAGGCAACCTCTTCGTAGGTGAGTATTTCCTCCGGATCTGTTTCGTCCGGCGCCGTGGTGGCGTATAGTGGATAACTGTAAAGAAAACAAAATAAGTATGGACTCCTGAAACTACTTTCTCTCGCCGCCACAGCCAACTTACCCCGCCTCCGAGCTAGCCTTTTTCTTCTTTTTCCGCCCTTTGCGGGCACACAGCAGCGTCGCACCTTTACTGCTGTCTTTGCCGCGACTGCGCGCCAAACCCGCCTCCTCCGCAATGGCCAACTTCATGGTCTCACGCTGATGCTGAAACGATTGACTAGGTATGAGACCGGCCAGCGTTTGATCCTCCTCGCCCTCACGATACGCCTGCCACCAGTTGGGATCGTCACGCGAGATCACGTGCAATACATCACCCTTTTGGAAGCTAATACCCAGCTCACGACACGGTATGTACAGATCATCCTCCGGATCATAGTCGAAGTGGGCACGCACATGCAATACAGCGTTTTCGCGATGGCCGCCACCGGGTGGTGGACTGCCTGCGGGCACAATGAGAAAGGTGAGGGTACCCTGCATAGAGCTGAGCAGTGCGCACACCTCGTTCACCGTCTTGCCGCGCAGCTCTTGCCCGTTCACCTCGAGTATTTCGTCGCCCTCGTGCAGCAAGCCCGACTTCTCAGCTGCGCCCCCACGCACTATGCGTCCGATCACGACAGCCTCGCCCTCATTGCGCACCGTTGCGCCGAGCGGCTCTGTCGACTTCTCAATCTGTATGATGCGTATGTTGTCATTCTGATCGTTCAGCGTGCCAAAGCAGGCGCTCAGAGGCGGCGAATCTGGACGCATGGGCTGCTTCATGTAGCCACCAAGTTGTGGAGGCACTGGTGGCGCGTGTTGTGTCCCCGCACCGCCTACCAAATTCTGCGGCAGTGGCATTGCGCTACGTTGCGCTAGCGGCGGCGGTGGAACTACGGGTGGTGGCACAGCTGTGCCTCGTACTGCTGCGCTTTTGCTAGGTGGCACTGGCGCAACACCAGCGCTTGCGGCTGTTTGCTGTGGACTTGTCGCACCGCTAAGCAGTGGTGATGGTGTGGCGTCGGTGAGCGTAGCAACACGATCGTGCGCCAATAGTAGACCCTCCATTTCGTGACTTGTCAGCAAATTTCCGAGCTCGATCGCAGCAGCGGTATTCGACTGTGTCAGCAGCTCGACAATATCCTTTTGCAGTATCGTGGCATTGACGCTCACAGGGTTGGAGACACGTGGACGTCGGCGTTGTAGCACCGCAGCGCGTGCGGCGAGCGCATGTGCAACGCCGGCGCTACTCAGCACGTTATGTGCGGCGGAAGCGCGACTTGCCAGCGTGGACATGCCATTTTTGGTGAGTTGATTCTGCAGACGTGTCAGCGCGGCAATCAGTTCGCCGTAACCTAGTGGAGGAGAGAGAGTTAGGGTGAATGAGAAATGTGTATAAGTAAAATGACAGAGTGAGAGAGAAAGTGAGTTCAAGTTCTTACCATTGATTTTCTCGACATCCTCATCGTCCATATACGCCTCGTTCTCCACGCCCGCAATACGTGTCTCCGTGGCAACCGGCTGTTGCTGTTGTGCGGCCGCCTTGCTGTCCTGCAGCGCCTTGAGTTTACGCGAGCCGCGCAAACTGTTGCGCAAAAATTCATTTTGTTGCGCGATCCGTTCTTCCTCCTCGCGCCGGCGACGTAGCTGCTCCTGAAAAACAGAGAAGATGATATTGGTCAGTCTGAGTGCTTGCCAATTGTGCGTAGCGCGGAAGCTGCGTTGGAAAACAATCAGCGCGGTCGAGAGAAATATGGGCAGATAATGGAGTGGCGACTCCGCAGCGGATATTCGCTGCATTATCGGTAGGAAAAAAATATCGAACAAAGCGCCTCTACAGATATGTAGCCAACATGCACCCTACAAATGAAAATTGCGACACGCTTTCTACGCTCGCCTCGTTCTTCCGCACGCTTTTACACCTTCTTTGTCTCTTAACCCAACCCACATTCTACCCCATCACGTGTAGCGTTTAATGTGTTCTCAGCTCTTCAGCGGCAGTTAGTTAATCTGCGCCAGCAAAACAATTCCCTTAATTAAATTAGCACGCGAATGGGGTGAATGGGGCAGTGGGTCGGTGCCCCACAACAACGCTGCGATGCGGTTGGGGGCGGCATAATTAGTTAATCATATAAACGAGCTGAGGGAAGGTAGAGTAGACTCGTCTCACACGTTAAACCGTTAAGTGGCAACCCTTCTGGGAGGGGGCCTGAAAGGCATAGACGACGCAAGCAAATCGCAAAAACTTAGTTGAAAGTTGCTTCAAGCTATGTTGGTGTGACTGAAACTCCACACCAAAGAGATATGGAGGGATGGGGAGCGTTGTATGATAAAAGGAGACAGATACAGATATATAAGCCCTGTTCGTTGGATATTTCTCTACAGAAGACTCTCACGAGTAGCTTTACATTGGCGTTCGATCAATACTCGCAGAAGTTAAGTAACTCAGTAAGCCAGTTCGAAAAGCTTGGCGAGAGTTCCAAATGTCCAATCAGTCCTCAAGGACACAAACCTTGAGAAAAACTTCATCTGGGCTCAGTCAAAATCTAAACCGAGCTGCAGAGCTTTATTTAAACTTGGATTTCCCATCACCTTCAAGGCACGCCTTAAAGGTGCGAACCAAAGAAGATACAACACGGGAGCTTACCCAACACGGGGCTGCCGAATTTCATACGAATTCCCGTTAACCAACATTTAACACACTCACTCCTTCTGTAAAATATGTTCCCAGTGCCGCTGTTCATGTCCCACACACCGAACACAGCGAACCCCCAATCCCTTCCACACCCTCTTACAGAACATTTGAATCCCCACACCTGCGAACCAAAGCCGTTTAGCAAGTAGCACGCGTGTTTATTAAGCGGTTGAATGTGTGCGACGAAATGTACACAAAATACATAAGTACAACATTCAACATAAAACACAATAAAACAACTGAAAAAACAACAAGAACAGAAACACAAATATGACAAACAGAGCTTACGAGTGTGAGACGAACATTGTTTTGAGCTTTACTGCAGCATTGGAAACCCGTCAAGTGTGATCACTAGCAATCCATCATCAGTGTGGGCGGAGGAAGCGCAGAGCACACCAATAAAGGGACGTGGACTGAGAGAAGGAGCTGTGGGCGAGCGGGGCGATTGGTCCAAAATGAATGAGTGCCCGTGTGGGCGTGTTTTGAAGCTAATAGCGCGAGTGCTGATGATAGAAGAGGGCTGATGGAGTATGCAAATGCATGTGTGGCAAATATAAATGCAACAAGCGCCAGGCAAACATCCAGAGAAACAAAAAAAAAAAACTGTGAAAAAAAGTGTGAAAAGGGCGAAATGCAAAATGCGAATGCTGTGTTGAGTGGAGTAAAGTGGTAAACAAATGCATTGCACTATTCAAGGATTTGTTGCCTTACAGTTATATAATAATGTCAGCGAGCGCGTTGCATGCCACACGCAGTGCTCACAGTTGTTGATGTTTTTTTTTTCCTTTTTTTTGTTGTTTTAAATATGCACGACTTGTGAATCAGCAATTGGAGCAGAAAATTGTACTGTTATAACACAATTGTTTTTGTTGCATTTTTTCATATATTTTTTTTTTTGGAAATTTTTCGCTGACTTTGCAACCTTCACAAAATGCTAAGCACTAAAATATGATTTACAACCGAAAAACCCAGACAAAATTGAAGTAGAAAAAAAAAACAATAAAACAAAGCGTAAAATTAAAAAAGAAGAACTAAAATGAAAATAAATAATAAAATAAAACAAATTAAAAAAATTTAATAAAATCTAATTAAATTGAAAAATATTTAATAAAATTAAATAAAGCAAAATAAAAAGGTAATAAATTAAAATAAGTTAAAGAAAATTAAACAAAATGAAATAAAATAAATAAATTATATAGGATAAATTTAAATAAAATAATATTATTTAAACTTAATTAAAATTAATTAAAATAAAATAAAATAAAATAAAATAAAATAAAATAAAATAAAATAAAATAAAATAAAATAAAATAAAATAAAATAAAATAAAATAAAATAAAATAAAATAAAATAAAATAAAATAAAATAAAATAAAATAAAATAATATAAAATAAAACAAAACAAAATAAAATAAAAAGAATTAAAAAATAAAAAATTAATTAAAGTAAATATATATATAATTTTATTTTATTTACTTTGATTTTATTAAAAAAAAAAATAAATTATATTAAAGTCAATTAGATAAAGTGTATAAGACAAAATTAACTGAAATAAAATAAAATAAAATAAATTAAAAAATATAAAATTAAATTAAGGTAAATATATATATATTTTTATTTTATTTACTTTGATTTTATTTAAAAAAATAAATTATATTAAATTCAATTATATAAAGTATATAAGACAAAATAAACTGAAATAAAATAAAATATAATTAAATAAATTAAAAAAATAGAATTAAATTAAAATAAAATAAAATAAAATAAATAAAATAAATTAAAAAATATAAAATTAAATTAAGGTAAATATACATATAATATAATTAAACTCAAATAAAATCAAATTAAATATAAAATGAAATAAATAAATAAACAAAACAAATTGAAAAAGAATACAATAAAATAAATTAAATAAAACAAATTTAATTCAAATTAAAATTAAATTTTTTTATTTTTTCATCAAAAAGAGTTCAACTTATTTCCTCTGACATTTTTATTACCGCTACTTTTGCGTGTTCGCACATAATTTATGCGTAATTCCTAATAAGTTAGCTTGTGAACTGGTTTTATATATGGCGACAGTGGCCATAAAATATACGTGAACAATAGAGAAACGCATTAAACGCACCCGCAGCTTCATAAAACAACAACAATTACAGGTTAAACAATAGTTTAATAAATAAAAACTTGGTAATAAATTTAAGAGGAAATAAACTATTTTAAGGCTTTACGAGTGTTATTAGCCACTGTGGAAGCTATTTCTCGAAAATTTTGCTTCACAAAAGGCTTTCGCAGGAAAATTTTACAAATTCTTGTTCACTGATATTTCCTGCAAAATAGACATTTTTCAGCTTATAAGAGTTTGGTGTTTGAAGAGTAATAAACAATTTTAAATTAACAAAAAAAAAATTGAGCTTTCATGCCGTAAAATATCGCACTAAAAACCTTCAAGTATAGCGTTGGTTTGTTTAAAAAATATTTTAAATTATGCCTTATAAAGCTTTTTCTTAAGCTTATTGCACTCGAAACGTTGAGAAGAAACTTTCACACTTAGTGGTAAGCTTTCATAATTTCATGAAAAGCTATTTTTCAGTTATATGGAATGGATTTAACGAATAGATTGTTCTATTTCAAAGTAAAGCAACACTCAAGAAAAAGCAATAAAAATGGCGTTATAAATGTTACGCTTTCACGTTTCAATGTGAAGCTTAAATATATTATTTAAATGTAATGTTAGTTTGAATGCGAAGCTTTAATATATCTTTTAAATGGTATTTTAACTACAATTGTAGCTTTTAAAGTCTTTATAAACATATACCATGTAAAGAAGCTTTCGCAATTATATAATGAGCTTCGCATTGAGCTTTCACATATTTATTATCAGCTTTCATTATAAGATCTTTGAGCTGTATGTGCGTAAAATTTGTGAGAAAAAACGTTTTCAGTACTGCTGACGATTTTAAAATTTTCTTATTTTCAGTGAAAGCTTCCCGTCAACTCCCCATTTCAAATATAAGCACTTTAGGCATGAAAAACGAATATACACACATGCTTATTTTGCAACCCTTACCATTATATGTTAACTTTGACTAGAGAAACTTTATTTTAAGCTTTTGAAGTTTTCATAAAATGAGCCATCTAGAGCTTGTATATTCCGACAAAAAGCAATTGATGAGTGAATATTTTGTCACAATCATAAATATGTCTAAGTTTCCAAAGAGCTTTGGTTTGAAATGTAAGAAAGCACTGATTATAAGCTTTCATTATTTTTTTAAAGGTATTTTAGTCTTTTATCATTTTTACGAATATTTTTTTTTAAAGGAAAAGCTATTTTACCCTACTATGAGCTTTAATTATTTTTTAACCAACTTTCGTTGTTTTATTTTAAGGGTTCTTAACTCTACTAAAAGCTCTCATTATTTTTTTTTTTACAAAATCTCATTATTATTTTTTAAGCTTTTTAGGCATTTAAAATTTTTTCAAACTTAATGACTACTAAAAGCTTTCATCACTCTTTTAAACGATATTTCTGTATAAAAAAATATTTTATTATTAAAAAAAAATATTTTTCCATATTATATACAATATATCTTTTTCACCTGACAAAAGTTGATTGATTTGAGCTTTCATATTTAAAAAAAAAAATTATTCAATAATCAAAGCGCTGTCAAAATAGCTTGCGTCATAGCATACTTGAGTTCTTCGTTTCGCTGAAGATACTTCATGTGCTCTGTTAAATTCTAAAAATCCGAAATATTTTTGGCAACAACTATTATGAGTTAATAGGCGGAGGAGGAAAAGGTGTAACCAGCGCTACATATGAGTTTTGGTATGTGTTTTTGGTGTGAACAAAAAATCGCAAATTCATAGGCGCGGCCTTAACTTTTTAAGTAAACTGCCTACAATTTATTTCCCCCCCGCTCTTCCCAGTGCTAAAACCAATTTTTCCATTTTCTTTT